TCCTGATTTGAAGGTTTGTTTTTTGTTTTTTTTTCCTCCTAGACTTAAAAGGACGACAGACATGATGTTTGGTGGAAAGCAGGTGGTGGTCTGTGGCTATGGAGAGGTAAACCACTTCTTGGTGGTTTAAAATGCATTTTGATGAATGTTCTAGAATATTGCATGCATACAGTAAAGAGTCTATCATGCACCACTTTAGACAGGAGCGAATAGTTTTAGAGAGCTTTAGCTGAAGTACATTTCTCTCTCACTTTGTATTTTTGTTATTTTTCTCAAGTGTTCTAGCACTACTGTTTGTGATGTTCTTTTAGCTTGTGTTTTGATTATAAATCGTGAGTGTGGGTGTTCTTATGCATATGAATGTGCTAAGCAGGGGCCAGGGGTTTGTTTATGAACTACATTTACTTGTTTTTCTTGTTTTTTTCCCAGGCACGAATCTATTCAGCAAAATTACTTTTGGGGGGTAGAAAGGAAGCTTTGAAAACTGTTTTCTCACTTACTTTCTTTATTATGTGTGCTCTCTCCCTCTTTAGGTGGGGAAGGGGTGCTGTGCTGCTCTGAAGGCCATGGGCTCCATTGTGTATGTAACTGAGATTGACCCTATCTGTGCCCTGCAAGCCTGGTAAGCATGCAGAGGGAGAGCTGCACTTCTTTTATAGTGTCTAACATGCCACTCTGGAGCCTTCATACCATATCTTAAAGAGCCCAGATCCTGATGGAGGCTGCTATAACTCTAAGCTTCTTTCTTTCAAAGGTCAAGAAGCTCTGCTTAGAGAAAAGTGAAAAATGTATAATTCTTATGGAAATAGTAACAGGGAATACTTTGGTTCAGGGGACAAATATCCCATTAACTTTTCCATGTGTAATCCCTGCCTCTTTGAAAATAAATGATCAAATAATAAAAGAAAGGTTAGCAAGATGGTTCACCTGCTAATTTGAATTTGATCTCTGGAACCCATGTAAAGGTGGAAGGAGAGAACTGATTCCACAAAGTTGTCCTTTGACCTTCACTGGTGCAACATGGCATGCGTGCACCCCTACACATATACATATAACACACAATAATTTCTTTTAAAGGTTCAGGCCTGTAATCCTAGCACTTGTAAGACTGAGGCAAGAGGATTGTAAGTTCCGAGTCAGCCATGACTACAGAATGAGACCTTGTCTCAAAATTAACTAATTAGAGCTGGATGTGTTAGTATTTGGGTGCCTGAAGCAAGAGGACCACTACAAATTTGAAGCCAGCCTGGGCTGCAGAATGAGATCAAATTGTACTTGAAGATACAGCTTAGTGGTAGCGCGTGTACATAGCATACACAAGGCCTTGGATTCAATTCTCAACAGGAAAAAAGGGAGAGGGGGAAGTAAAATAGGCTGTATCAGAGACCTGATATAATACACTAAAAAGAAGACTTTGTGGTAGTCCTCCCAAAACTATATAAAAATCTCCCAAAACTGTAATAGTCCTTGCAAAACTATAAAAATCTAATCATAAGAAATTATCAGACAAATCCAACTTAAGGGTAAAACCTGCCAACTCAGGGGCTGGAGACATGGTTCATCGGTTAAGAACACTGGTTGTTCTTGCAGAAGACCCGGGTTCGAATCCCAGCACCCACATGGCAGCTAAAAACTGTCTGTAACTCCAGTTCCAGGGGATCCGGCAGCCTCTTTTTTCCGCCGTGGGCGCTGCACAACACGGATATTGGATCCCCTGGAACTGGAGTTACAGACAGTTGTTAGTTGCCATGTGGGTGCTGGGATTCAAACCCGGGTCTTCTGCAAGAACAACCAGGGTTCTTAACTGATGAGCCATCTCTCCAGCCCCAATAAATAAAATATTTTAAAAAATCTGCCAACTCTTGAGGGAAGTATAAGTGGGAATTTGTTTGCCTTATTCTTATAATCCTTTTTATTTTTGAGATTTTTTTTTAAATATTTTATTTTATTTTTATTTTATGTGTATGAGTGTATTGCCTGCATGTATGTGAGTGCACCCCTGTCATGCAATGCTGCGGAGGTCAGAAGAGGGCTTCTGGTTCCCCTGGAACTGGAGTTAAGAATGGTTCATAGCCGCCATGTGAGTGCTGGGAATCGAACCCAGGTCCTCTGCAAGAGCAGTCAGTGCTCTTAACCACTGAGCCATCTCTCCAGCCCCAAGATTTTATTTATAATTATGTATGTGTGTGTCTGCGTGGGGATATGTGCACCAGTGCAGGTACCTGCAGATGTCAGAAGAGGGTATCAGATCCCCTGCTGTGGGTGCTAGGAACTGAACTTGAGTCTTCTGTAAGAGCAAAATGTGCTTTTAACCACTGAGCCATCTCTCCAGCCCCTTAATTTTAAAATTCTTAAGGTTCAGATGTGGTGGTGGCACATGCCTTTAATCGTAGCACCCAGGAGGCAGAGGTAGGCGGATCTCTGTAAGATCAAGGTCAGCTTGGTTTACATAGCAAATTCCAGGCCAGCTGTGGCTATATGGAGACCATGTCTCAAAAAAAAATTCTTAAGGTCCAAATCCTTAAATTTAAAATTAAAAGTAGGGCCGGCGTGGTGGCGCACAGCTTTAATCCCAACTCTCAGGAGGCAGAGGCAGGCAGATCTTTGTGAGTTCAAGGCCAACCTGGTCTACATAGAGAGTTCCAGGCCAGTTGAGGCTACATGGAGAACCTGTCTCAAAAAGACCGAAAAAAAAAAGAATCTAGATCTTGGGCTAGAGAGATGACTCCATGGTTAAGAGCACTGGCTGCTCTTACAGAGTACCCAGATTCAAATCCCAGCAGCACCCACATGGCAGCTAACAATTGTCTATAACTCCAGTTTAGGGGATATCTGATGCCCTCCTCTGTTCTCTGCGGGCATTGCATGACACTTGAGTACACTTACATATATACACAGCATAAACTCTTACACATAAAATTTAAAAAAAAAGAATTTAGATCTTGTCCTAAGCTAGGTAGTCTTATTCTGAAATATTTTAAACAAGGAAATGACATGTTACAAATAAGAAAATAATTTTACAAAATGATTTTGAGAGATGTAAGCCTAGAATCAGTGAGATTGGAGCAAGCATTACTGCAGTAATCTAGTTAAGAAGTAGTAAGACCTAAATTTAGGAAAGCCAGCATATATAGAATAAGGGGACAGAGCCAGGCACAGGGGCACACACTTGTAATCCCAGCACTCAGGAGGCTGAGGTAGAAGGATTGCCTCAGTTTAAAGTCAATCTGTTCTACAAATTGAGTTGAGACCATGTCTTAAAACCACCAAGAGTGGTGGGATCAGGTGGGTGGAGGGGTAGCAAGAGACTTTTAAGGAATTAAGAAAACAGGATCAACCAGATTTGGTTACAATTTCAATTAGGAAGGAACAGTAGGCAAGGACATTCTAGCTTACTTGGCTCATATAGTTGCATAAATATTAATGCAACTGATCAAGATAGAAACTACAGAAGAAAAAGTCCATGAAGATATGGAAAAGGTAATTTATTTTCAAAGACAGTAAGTTTGGGATCTCTGAGGAAATATTCAATGGATTATTTGGCTATGAAGCTTCCAAGAGATGTAACTTAAAGATGCAAATTGAACCTTGCCTGGTGGTACACGCCTTTAATCCCAGCACTCAGGAAGCAGAGGCACACAGATCTCTGTGAGTTCAAGGCCAGCCTGGTCTACCTGGTGAGTTCCAGGCCAGCTGGAGCTGCAGGAAGATCCTGTCTCAAAAAGAATAAATAAATTAATTAATTAATTAATTAAATAAATAAGTAATAAATAATAAAAAGTGAGGGTGGAGATTAGGTCAGTGGTAGAGCTCTGCCTAGTATGCCCAAGGCCCGGGTTCTATTCCCAGCAATGGGGCAGATAAAAAGAAAGTGCCAGTGAGTCTTCTGTGAATGGTCATTTGCAGCCAAGAGCAGGCTCTATAAATGAGTATTGAAAGAATAGAGCAGTCTATTGAGGAATGCCACCAAGTACCAGTACTTACAACTTGACTGGTCAATAGCAATCTGTAAATGGAGAAAAAGCTGAGGAGATAGCTCAGTGGGGTATAATTGCCTATCATGCACGAGGCCCTATATACAATCCCCAGCACCACAGAAGGGGGAAGTTAAGTTTTAAGAAGGCAAATGTTTAATGTGGGAGAGAAATCAAGTACTATGAGAAAGGAAGAAAAAATTTTCTTTTTTTCTTCCAGGTGATCTTAGGAGAACAGTTTTAGTGGGATAGTAGATTCAGTGGCCAACTGTCATTTTCTAGAAATTCAATTGGGAATCTCATGGTGACACTTGCTTGGCTCCCTATTATCAGGAAGAAATAGTCCCAGTGATGTGAAGGAAGCTTTTATTTTATTTTTCTCCTGTATAAACTAACAAAATGGTTGGAAGTTTTCACTGATAAGAATAGTCCAAGCAATGGCTTGGTGGCACAAGCCTTTAGTCCCAGCACTCAGGAGGCGGAGGCAGAGACAGGCGGATCTCTGTGAGTTCGAGGCCAGCCTTCTACAAAGTGAGTTCCAGGCCAGGTGGGGCTATAGGGAGACCCTGTCTCAAAAAGACCAAAAAAAAAAAAAAAAGGCAAAAAATAAATAAATAAAACAATAGTCCAAGCCAGATGTGGTGACATATGCCTATAATCCCAGCACTTGGGAGGAAGAGGCTAGAGGATCATGAGTTTGAGGCCAACCTGGGGTACACAGCAGCAACACTGTGTCTTGAAAACAAAACAAAATAAACAGACCAAAAATCATTCCAGCTATCCCAAGAAGTGACATTGTACCTACTAAAGGAATTTGATGCCAGCTTTTAAAGAAAGGCTCTGCAGCTACCTGCTTAGTTTAATTGATCCTGCTTTATTTCTACAGTATGGATGGATTTCGACTAGTGAAATTAAATGAAGTCATCCGACAAGTGGACATTGTTATTACCTGTACAGGTATGATTGTGATGTATTAAATGGGGTAGTACTTGGGATGCTTTCATGGAGAAATAGAAGGTGATTGGAAATGTTCTGAATAACACCAAACTAGAATAGCCAGAGATAGGGGATGGGGGCAGGCATAGGAAAGAAATAACTCAATAAAGCATTTGCCTTATAAGCATGAGGATCTGAGTTTGATCCCCAGAACCTATGTAAAAAAGCCAGGTATAGTGGCATACGTTTATAATCCCAGCACTGGGGAGACAGAGACAGGAGAATCTGTGGCCTCACTGGCCAGCCAGCCTAGCTTAGTTGGTGAGCTCCAGGCCAGTGGAGGACACTCACCGATAAGGTGGGTGGCATTCCCGAGGATGATCTCCTGTGTGCACATGTACATGTGTTTACACACACGCACATGCACATGCACACACTCGCGCATCAGAAAGAACAGTCCAAGAAAACAGTCCTTCTCTTTCAGATTCTTCTTAACCTATTTAGAGTATGTAAATATGTCATTCCTATAGAAAAGGTTTCCTCCACCCTTTATTAAAGCTAGCATATCCTCACCTATCCTTAACTACCTAGGGAGAGAGCTAGAAATGAGATGCATCTGTAGAGGTTTATTTGGGAAACCAGATCTTAAATTACTACATATGATTGAGAAGTGTGTGCTAGTAATTTTTCCCAGAGCCTTAAGCATGCTAAATGTATGCTCTCCTGCTGGACTACACACCCAGCCCCTTCATTTTTTGCTTTACTTCCAAAAACAAAGATATAGCCAGGCGTGGTGGTGCACACCTTTAGTCCCAGCACTTGGAAGGCAGAAACAGGCAGATTTCTGTGAGTTTCAAGGCTAGCCTGGTCTACATAGAGAGTTCCAGGCCAGTTGGGGCTATAGGGAGACCCTGTCTCAAAAAGACCAAAATATAATAATAAATAATAATAATAATAATAATATTTTGTTCCATTACTGAGTTGTTTTTCAAACACCTTTTTATTTTTATTTTTTAATATTATCTTTATGAGTATGTATGTGTCTGGGTACATATAAGTGTACCTATGTCATGCAGTGCTCACAGAGGCCAGAAGAGTCCATCAGATCCCCTGGAACTGAAGTTACAGACAATTCTTAGCACTATGTGGGTCCTGGGAACCAAGCCCAGGTCCTCTGAAAGAACAGCCAGCCAGTGCTCTTAACTACTGAGCCATCTCTCCAACCCCTTAAGCACTTTCTTAGTGGTATCATATACAGCACAAAAAGTGTTAATCTATCGATGTATTTCAGTATGTCTCTTTTGGTGGATGGCTTAAGCTTAAGGTGTTATATCTAAGTAGACAATTCCCCAATCTGAGATCACAAAGATTTATGTTCTTCTAAGGTTTCCATACCCGCCCCCCCGCTTTTGATTTTCTTAAGATAGGGTTTCCCTGTAGCCTCAGCTAGCCTGGAACTTACTATATAGACCAGGCTGGCTTTGATGTCACACACATCCACCTGCCTCTGTCTCCTGAATGCTAGGATTAAAGATGTGGTCCTAAGGTGTTTTTGTTGTTGTTGTTGTTGTTGTTGTTATTGTTTTACTACTAAGAGTTTTAGAGTTTTTTGTTTTAGATTTAGGAATATGATTCAGGGGCTGGAGAATCAGCTCTACAGCTAAGAGCATTTGCTGCTGTTACAGAGGATCCAAGTTCCCAGCACTCACAGTTTCTATAATTCCGGTTCCAGGCAATCTTACTATCTCTTCTGCCCTCCACAGGCTCTGCACATACATGGCACACATACATACACTTAGACACACATACACATAAAATCAGTAAACTAATATATATATTTTAAAATATGATCTGGGGCTAGAAAGATGGCTCAGCAGTTAAAGAGTGTTGCTTGCTATTGCAGAGGACCCAGGTTCAGTTTCCAGCATCTACATGGCCGCTAACAACCATCTGTAACTCCAGTTCCAGGGGATCTGATGCCCACTTCTGGTCTTTGCAGGCATTGTATGACACAGGTGCACTTGCCTATATGCAGGCAAAATACTCACACACATAACATAAATTGTTTATGTTTTATTTTTTTATTTTATGTATATAAGTGTATTACCTGCATATTTGTAAGTGCCCCCATGTCATGCAATGCCTATGGTGCTCAGAAGAGGGCGTCAGATCCCCTGGAACCCAAGTTATGGATGGTTATAAGCTGCCATGTGGGTGCTGGGATTTGAACCCAGGTCCTCTGTAAGAGCAGCTAGTGTCTTAACTGCTGAGCCATCTCTCAAGCCCATAAATAAATGTTTAAAAATTCTAAAAAATAGTCCACTTAGAGTTAATTTTTACATAGTGTATGAAGTAGGGGGTTCATACCTACTTCATACAATATTATGAATTACCTATATTCTTTTATATAGGTATCTTCTGTTTTTAAGGTAACAAGAATGTGGTAACCAGAGAACACTTGGACCGTATGAAGAATAGCTGCATCGTTTGTAACATGGGACATTCCAACACGGAGATTGATGTGGTAAGATCATTAGTGATCATTACTGGGGACTTTTTAATTTTCCATTTTTTCTCTCCTTCCCAAGTAACAAACTGGAAGATGAAAGAATAGGGTTATTATTCATCCTGAACTGTCCGAGACTGTCCTAGAAGAGCTGTCCATATCTACTCACTCACTAGCCCTATGGCCTGTGCTTATGGACAAGATAAAGCTGCTGCTTCTCAGCTTAATCATTTGAAATGATTGTCATCTTCCACCCAACTTGATTATCCACCCATACTGTGTACTATTTATTTTCCCTTATGCTTAGGATTGAGAGCTGAATAAATTCAATGTGAGTCAGAATGGCAGTCAGAATTTGGGGGATGTTTGGTTTTACATAAAGATGAGATAAGTAGGCTGGTCCATGGAAACACTCAAGGGAGAGAGATCTGTGGGCTATGGTGAATACATTGCCTTAGAATGACTGTGTCTGTCAGATACTGCAGTTTCTTCTTTTCTCTCCCTCTTTCACTAGGCTAGGCCTCCTTAACATATTTTCCAAACTGTAATAATTGGATCTGTAGGTGTCACATTCACTCCTATGCCACGGTGTAGCAGCATGCACTCCTCAAACTTGGAAAATCTATCACTTTGGTTCTCTAATTTGATTATAGTCATCCAAACTCCTAATAATAAGTTGTCCAAGTAATAGTTAATAGAAGTGTTATTTATTTCTTTTCAGACTTACCAAAGTATCTCTCAGTATGACTTTGACTCTGGCTTTAAGTTTTTATGGCATTTTTATGGCACATCTGTCTTTCTCTCTGGGTAACTGGCTCAACCATAGCATGCTTTCATCTCCACTGAGGGCTGCTGTGATTGAGCTTCAGCATTGCCAGGTAAGGATCAGCTGACATATCAAGAGCCTTTTTGGATAATATCTATTTTATGTGGTTTCTCCTTTTAACCTTATGTCTATTATTCTGTCATTCAAAGCAGCTGGCTGGGGATGTAACTCAGTGTAGAGTGCTTGCCTCACATACATGAGGCTCCAGGCTTAATCCCCAGCACCACCAGCACCAGAAAGAAGGAAGAAAATAACTGGCAAAATAATCCTCAAAGCCAATGTCTTCTACCCTGGGGGTCTGAGTGCCATGGCTTCATTACTCTGTCTTTTCACTATAGTTTAGTTTGCTTGCAATTAATAATTTAGTTGTTTAATGTAGCTGATTCCTTTTGGGGGGCTAGTCCCTTAAGTTTCCCTTATTAGCTATGCTGCCCTTTTGCTAAATGATCAAAGACAGAGGAAGGAAGGAAGTTTTTCGTTCTAAAACCTCAGGAAACTGAAATAACTCCAGATACAATCATCTAACATCTGTATTTTTACTTTATCTCATTTCACCCCCTTGACTTCTCTGTGAGGAATATTCTTCATTCTGTGAAGAGTTGTTCTTACCTTCCTACTGGGAAGCTAAGACATTAAATAAACTGATAAGTCATATAATTGGTTCAAAATTAAATTTAAGCACAGAATTCAGGTGTTTTGACTACAAGTTCTAGTTTTGCTTTGTTTTAGTTTGTTTTTCATTATGGTATGCTTTCGCCACCTGACTGGTAGATTACGCTTAACTTCAGTGTGTGATAATAATCTCTCCTTCTGAGGCAGTTCAGACAGGAACAGTTCCTTAGGATAAATGCAGGAAAACCATTTACCTTCAGTTACAAATACCTTTGTGTGATTGCTGTATGTCACTTACAGTTTTAGATGCTTGGGAGTCAGTGAACAAAACAGATTCCTACCCTCATGGAGCTTATGTTAATGAGAAGAAAAATTAAACATAATGAGTAAGTAAAATTCACAGGACATTAGACAGTAAAAGCACCGTGGAAAAAAGAAAAAGCAAATTTTAGTAAAGGGAATTGAGTACTAGGTTGTATTTTTAAGTAGAATAATCAAACTGAGCCTCATTAAGGTAATGTTTGAGCAGACTTGAAGGAATTGGCCAGGTAGATTTTTAGGTGAAGAGCGTTTTAAACAGAAGCAGCAGCTGATACACGTGTTCCAAGGCAGGAGCAAAACTGCTCTATTTGAGAAAGGACAGGAGGCCAGTAAACTCGGCAACAGTGAGCCCAACGCAGGAAGAATGGAAGATGAGGTCAGAATGGTAATAGGCCAGATCTCTTCTAGTCTAACTGCCCATGCTAAAACCTGATTATATTCTGAGAAAAACAGGGAACCATTGTAGGATTTACAATAATCTGACTTAGTTTTAATACAGCGGCTTTCATTTTAAAAGGATCATTCTGGATAGTGTGTAAAACTTGGTTTTACAGTCATTGTTAGGTAGACACCCCCGCCCCCCATATTTCCCATAGCAAGATCCAAGGGCCATCTCTCTTTTCTTTGAATTCTACTTGGCAGAAAGTACATGGATAAATTAAATGGTCCAGAAAGGGACTGCTCAGAGGGCTTTTGAAAATTTAAATTATCCGTATTTGATGGTGGTATCACAGGATGTGTAAAGTAAAATTTAAAATAATAGAAAACTCATCGCTCATGGCTGTAATCTCAGCACTCAGAAATCTGAGACAGAAGGATTGCTGTGAGCTCAATGGCAGCCTGGGTTATGTAGTAAAACCTATCTCAAAACAAACAAACAAACAAAAAAGGAAATAACAAACTCATCAATAATTGAAACCAAAGTGTTCGTTCACTTATAGCAAATACATCCTGAATACTGGCCCTGCTCTGTGCCAAATTTTAACTGAATGAAAAGACATTGACCATGAAGTTTATATTCTAGTGTGGGTGATAGATAATAGACAGTTATTGTCCATGTAATGTTGAATAAAAAATCAAGATGAGGATATTGAAGACACTGTTAATTGAAATGGTCAAGAAAGGTATCTTTGTGGATAACAATAGAAAAAAAAAAGCTGAATGAAATAAAAAGTCAAGTCATTTGAGCACTATATTCAGAGAGAATGGTAAAGCAGGGTAGCTCAGTGGTAGAATGCTTACACATGTGCATGGACCTGTGTTCAGTCTCAGCATTATAAAAAGAAAAAAATAATAATGGCAAATAAGAAGACCCTGAGGTAGAAATCTGCTTCAGTGTCTGAGGAACAGAGCCGTGGTGGGGCAGGTGAGATAGTTCAGCAGGTAAAGGCACTTGTGGCTGAGTCTGAAGATGATTTTGATCCCTGGACTCCACATAATAGGAGAGAACTGACTACTACAAGCTGTCCTCTGACCTCCACACACATGCCATAGCACAATCTTCTGACCTCCACATGCATTTGGTGGCACACACACACACACACACACACACACACACACACACACACAAGCAAATGTAATGTTTTTTTAAAAAAGAAAATATCGAATCTGTTGGTTAATGAGCTCCAGCAGCATTCTATATATGTCTCTCCTGTTAATAAAATGTCCATTTTGGCCAAGTAGACTGTAAGGCATAAAGATTATCAGGCAAAGTTGCCTTTGAGACTTGGGGTGAGTCCAACCTGAGGGTTTATTTCCTTTCCTTAGAGAATCAGGATATGGGCATACTGACAGTAACAGAATTTTTTATTGAGCTTTTGTAATTTCATACAACAGTTATTAATCAAATTTAGACCTCCTCCCCCACCAGACCTCATGTATTCCACCATGCATATTAAGTCCCATCCAATCAAGCATCTGTATCTAGATGTCCTTCCATGTAAATCCGTCTACTGGAGTCTAGTCAGCCCATCTAGAGATTGTATGTAAGGCATATTCTCCCTCTCCCAGTAGATTTCATCTAAGCACAAAAGAAATCACTGGACAGTTCTGAACAAATAGATAACAAATTGTAACTGACCTACGTTTTTAGAAAATGAGTCTAGTTTTGGCTGGGCATGATGGTGCATGCCTTTAATCCCAGTACTTGGGAGGCAGAGGCAGACGGATCTCTATGAGTTCAAGGCTAGCCTGGTCTACATAGTGAGTTCCAGGTCAGCTGGGGCTGCAGGGAGACCCTGTCTCAAAAAGAACAAAAACAAAACAAAACAAAAAAACAGTCTAGTTTTTGTATAAAGAAAAAACTTCTGGAGCTTGAGTAGGGATAGGGACAAGAGAAGGCTAAAGGCTTGATTAGATGGGTCAGCAGCAGAGGTGATAAGAAGTGATGTGACCAATGGGATTTGCCAAATTGATTAGATGCAGAGTATGAGGAGAGACAATTCTTTATAAATATACCTAGTGTCAGTATTTGGGAAAATTGTTTGGTAAATATTTATCCAGTTTTGTAATCAAAATTTAGAGTAGAGAGGGGAGATTCTGTATAAATCTACTTAATGTTACTTTGTGGGAGAATTATTTGGTAAATATTAATCCGGATAATTTCTGGGTTTTGTTTCTGCTTTTGAGTCAAGGTCTCATTATGTAGCCTTGGCTGGCCTAGAACTCACTACATAGATCAGACTGGCCTGAAACTCACAGAGATCTACCTGCCTCTACCTCCCACGTGCTGGGTTTAAAGGCATGTACCACCACACCCAGCTGTCCAAATAGTTTAAATCAAAATTTAGAGTAGTCCTAGTACTTGGGTGGTGTGAAGCAGAAGGATGGTGAGTTTGAGGTCTGCTTAGGCTACATAGCTCCAGGATAGCCTGGGCTTAGGTAGTAAGACCCTCTCTCACTGTCACCTTTCCCCCCAAATTAGAGTTTTTTCCCCTCTTTTAGTTAGAAATTTATGGTTTTATCTAACCTTGAGATGTTGCTTGCTTCATATTTTAGAAAGGAATAACTCATTGAAAATATTGGCCTTTTAGAAAGTTGCATTTTTTTTTCCTGAAAAATATTAATTCTGTGAATGCCTGGGGACCTGCTGTTGGTTATTTACTGGCCAGCTCTTTCTTTTACATAGTTCCTTTCTTACACAGGCCTATGTGATTATAAGTTTCACAGTTCAAGTGATTAAACCATTAAGTATACATACTTTCAAAGTTCTTTCCAGCCAAAGACTGATTCACCTGAGAATTGCTGTTGATTCTATGTTCTAAAGGACTGGAACCACAGTTGTGCTCCCTGGAAAAAAAAAAACAAAACCGATATGCACTGGTCAAAATCATAGAAGATTAGTTTGTACACGCACAATAAATTTACAGGAGCATGCGCCCCTAATTTGGGATAGTATTTACAGAAGCAATCCTTTTCCTGATAAATTGTTTAATAAGTGTAAATCCACAGCAAAGCCTTTTTTCTTTCTTTTTTGGTGTAGTGTTGCCAGGTGCTGAACCCAGGGATTTGTGCATGCAAAGCACATGTTCTACCACTGATCTGCATCACCAGCCCCAGGTGACTGAGATATTCTTATACTGACCATAGGGTAGGGAACACATCTCTCAGGGAGTTGACGGCCAAATAGACCTTCATAGTGAGGACACTGAAGCTCACTGGAGAGCGGAAGAGATAAATTAACCAAGTTTCTCTTTAGATCCCCTCAAGGTCTTTTGCCTGTATCATAGCCATTCCAGTGTGATAGTATGCTGTCTTTACTCACCATTGATCATTTTCTTATGTTCATAAAAGGTTGTCCTTTCCTTGATTCCACCATATCTTTCTTCCCAAGGAGTACTTCCTAAGACAGGAGACTCTCAATATCATGTCAGCTCTTTGTTCCCAGTCACCAAGATTGCTTTTCCTCTGGAAGATTAATGGTATGAAACACTAAAATTCTGAACTACTTAACATCCCATCTTAACATAAAATGCCTGTGTCACCAAGGAGTTGTATGTCTTGACTATTCCTGGGTGTTCCCTCCATGTAATATTTTCAGAGGTGAAATGATTTACTTTATATATCCTTAACTTTCACAAATGGTCTGCTTGCTTCAATTATTTTTAACTCTATTCATAGTGTTTACTTTTAATTTTTTCATTTGTGGTGCTGGGGATCAAATCAGGGTTTTACACATGCGAGGCAAGAGTGTTACTACTGAGCTACATACCAAGTCCCCATTATTATTATTGTCATTATTATTATTTCTTCCTCTTCATCTCTTCCTCCCCCTCTTCCTCTTCTTCCTCCTACTCTTCCTCTTCTATTTTTTTAAAGGGTTACATAAATCCATTGTGTGGAGCTGACTTACTTAGCCATTCTCTTGTTGGTTTATGTTTATTTGCTATCATAAATAATGCTAGATTGCACATTCTTTGTTCAGTTTTGCTTTTTTTTTTTTTTTCTTTAAAGACACAGTCTTACGTAGACAAGGCTGGCCTTGAACTCACTTTGTAGCTGAGGATGACCTTGAACTCCTGATTCTCCTGCCTTCACTTCCCAAGTGCTGGGATTACAAGCATGCACCACCACACCTGGCTTAGATTGAACATTTTTAGGCATTTACATTTCTGAACTTGAACAAATGTTTGTGTAAGAGTCTAAAAATGAAAAAAAAAAGTCTAAAAATGAAATTAATTGGTCAAAAATTAGGTATATATAAAGTTTGGATAGCTATTGTCTATTCACTCTCTAGAATGAGTGAATCAATTTATGAAACTTGATGTCTCAAATTTTTCTTGTTTCCAATATGCCTAATAAAATAGTGGTCCAAACTGTGAATATAGTTATGAATATATCAAAATATAATGGAACATCTTTTTTTACCATTGGATTGATATTTCCTCAGGGAAGGGGACCATGACTTTCTAAACATTAGTTGAACACCCACATTGTGTTTAGAGGGAACTAGGGGACTCAATAATGAAAATAAGATACTGTCTCTATCCAGAAAATGCACATTCTAGTAAGGAATTCAGTCTTCTCTGTATATGTATCCTTTACTACAATGCCTAGAATTATTATGTAACTAGAAATATTTTTCTTTATTTCTCTGAAGACTAATATTTGGCAGAACTTTTCAATTTAACCAAGTGAGTTGATGGGTAGTTTGGGAATATGAACTCACTTTCTGTTTTAGGCATTGCTTAGTGGAAAAAGGAAGAAGTAGTTTTAAGTCTGCACCCTGTGACTGTTATTTGATTGTTGCTGCTAATAAACTTAACTTTTTTCTTTTGTTCTCTGAATATACAATACACAGAAATGGAAAGAGGGTGAGCCATTGGGAGCTTTATCTACCACTAGCATTCCTTTAAAGGCTACCTCACATTTGCACTTAGGTCACAAAGCTTCTGTAACTTTAGGGTAAATCACCATTGTTGAGAGATGGAACCTGGTACACTGGGACATGAGGGAAGAGCCTTGGGCCCCAGCATGCTATGTTCAGGACATTCAGCCTTCTCCAGCTAATCCCACTTGGCTCTGATCTCTGTTTTTTCTGTGTCTTCAGCACTTATGTATTTAGTTTGCACTATATTAATCTGCACTCGTTTGCATGTTGCTTTGTATTTTCTTCTCACATATGTATTGTTTTGTGTCCCCAACCAAAATGTGAGCTTTTTGAAGGCAGAAACCATGCCTTTGGTTTCTTTTGTATTTCCCATAGCACCTTTTACTGTGCTCAGCAGAGAGTGGGCGTACAGTATATGTTGTGGAATGACATCCTGAGTGATCCCTCCCTGGCTGGGCCTAAGATTAAATTCCCTGAAATGGAACAGTCCTAACCAACCCAGGACAGGTATTCTCCATCTGGCATGTTGGTTGCTCCTTTCGACTTACTGTTTGAAATGGCTCCTTCAACATCTTTCTGTCCCCAGCATGTGGGACTTGCCATGGCTAATGAAGTTCTTGTTGTATGTGTTCCAGGCAAGTCTGCGGACACCAGAATTGACCTGGGAGCGAGTGAGATCCCAAGTTGACCATGTGATATGGCCTGATGGCAAGAGGATAGTTCTGCTGGCAGAGGTAAGACAAGCTGACAAAGAGCTACTCTCAGTTGACAGGAGGGACTGCAGCTCCCAGTTCCCTCCTCTTCCTGCTCCCTTATTCTTGAAACTCCTCTTAAGTACAAGTTTAACTACTTTACCAATGGATTTTGCTTCTCATTGTGAAAGGTCTTTTCATTCAGCAATTAAGAAACTATTTTGGTTCCTCACTTTTTTCCAATTATCCTGTCTATCCCTGTCATTCTCCAGATTGAGTCAGATAATGACTATTACTGTGGAAGGAATTAACAGATAGAACCAGAGCCACTTTGAGTGATGCTTACAAAGAGATAATGTCATTTGTGGGATGGTTTAATCAGTAAGCAAAGTAGGTATTCCTGACTGTAATTCAAACTTAGGCAAGCTCTAGGAAAGTGATGTCTTTTGTTGATAGAGTCCCTGTATTTTATTGTCTTCTGATTTGATGAATTGAGCCAGATGTGTAGTAGGTACCCAACTTATTTGGTTAATTGGTTGCTTGGTGGATATTTTCCTATCCTGCTTTATCTAGCTCACACTTATTCCTTTGTTTTCCCCCCAGGGCTAGGAATTGAATTTAAGGCCTCACACATGCTAGGCAGATGCTCTATCACTGAGATGTATTCACAGCCCCCAACTTTTAAAACAATTTTAAATTAATTGAGGGGGGTGCATACATGTAGAGGTCAGAGAGCAGCTTTCAGGAGTTAGTTCTTTCTTTCCACCACATGGGTCCTAGGGATCAAACTCAGGTCATCAGGCTTAGTGCCAGGCACCTTTATCCACTGAGCCATCTCACTCACCCTCACACTTAACTCTTGACTTTCATTCCATGTAGCCTTCTATGCCATTTCCTGACCATTTTTCCTGTCTTGAAGGCTCCTCTGCCACAGTCCAGGATTATTGACTTCTATGATGGTGCGTCCTGTTCTTACCATGAAGCTTTTTCTTCAGGAAAAGAATAAAAATAACAAGGGGGATAATAAGACTTTTCCTGGGTTTCAATTTCCAGTCAGTTTTCTTTTATTTCTTAGAGATTGAGTATGAAAATACAAACAATATCCTGACCGGGCGTGGTAGCGCACGCCTTTAATCCCAGCACTTGGGAGGCAGAGGCAGGCGGATCTCTGTGAGTTCAAGGCCAGCCTGGTCTACATAGTTCTAGGACAGCTGGGACTACAGAGAGACCCTGTCTCAAAAAGACCAAAAAAAAAAAAAACAATATCCTGTCTTTATATGGGGGCCCATAAAACTAAGGTACTATTCCTTTTAAATACACACACACACACACACACACACACACCTATCTAGAAATGCTTTAGGACATCTCTAGGAAGGCATGTGTATGGTGAAGGGACGAGCAGGTTGTTAAAGGTGTATTAATAGCCTTGACGTCAGCCACTGTCTGGCAATGTTTCTAAATTGCCCTTGGGAGGGGCCCACTTAGCAATTCTGGCGACAGAAGCAGGCACCAAAGGTGTTTGAGGCTATATAGCTGAACAAAAACAGTAGTCAGGCTTCCTAGGAAACAGAGAAGGAAAGGACAGCATGGGGCAGACAAGTTTTAGCTCTTTTACTTATCTGTACCATCCACTCAAAATTCAAAGCTGCTTGCCTTTGAATCAGAAGAAACAAACTGAGGAAGAAGCACAAAAAATCCTCTCAGCTTCCTAAGTCCATAGGTGTTTCTCCTCCCAGCCTGAAGAGATTTCCTAGACTTGACTAGATTCTTTTCTAAGATAATCAAGGGAAAGACAACTTCAGAAGAAGGATATTTTGCTATAGAGAATGGGAAAATTCAAGAGAAATATAAGCCTTAGCATAATCTTCAGTGTCAAATGACTTTTCCTTTTTGTATAATTCTAGAAATTGTTAGGTAGCACCTTCATCAAATTTTCCAGAATTTTCAGTGTTTTCCTTAAGATGTCAGTTCCAAAGAAGGACTTACAAATATTCAAAAGATAAACAGAAAAATTGTTCAGCATCACTAATCATCAGGAAAATGGAAGTTAAAGCCACAATGAGTTAATACCTCATTCCTGTAAGGATGGTCATTATCAAATACATGCCTTTAGTTCCAGCACTTGAGACGCAGAGGCAGGTGGATCTCTGTGAGTTCAAGGCCAGCCTGGTCTACATACTGAGTTCCAGAAGACCAAAAAAAAAAAAAAGATAATAAATACTGGCAAAGATTTAGAGAAAAAAGAAAGAGAACCTTTGCTTATGGTTGATAGGAATGTAAATTAGTACAGCCATTATGAAAAACAGTATGGAACTTCTCAAAAAAACTTAAAAACAGGACTACTATACTACTATTTGATCCAACAGTCTTACTCCTCTGTATATTCAGTATGTCAAAGAAATAGCTGCACTCCCTTTTTCATTGCAGTGCTATACATGTTAATGAAGAAGTAGAAACAGCTGAAGTTCTGTCAGCTGATGAATATATAAAAAAGAAATGTACATACACACAATGGGTACTAGTCTACTGAAAAATAAACTCCTGCCATTTGTTAATGTGAAGTGATGTTAAGAGAAATAAGCCAGTCACAGAAAGACAAACACTACATAGTCTCAATGTGAGTGCTGGGAACCAAACCCCATCCTCTACAAGAGCAATCAGTGCTCTTAATCACTGAGCTATCTCTCTAGCCCCAAAATAAATAAATCTTTTAAATTAACATTGAAAAGGATAAATATCAGTTAATTCCTGTTTTTTGAACACCTGCTTTTTGCCCAACAATCTTAGTTGAGAAGGGATTGGAAGTTGGCAGTCATACACTCCTCCTACACTCAAAGGCCAGCAACTGTCCTAACACCTGTTCATCTTCACTTCTAATCACTAGGGTCGTCTGCTGAACCTAAGCTGCTCCACAGTGCCTACATTTGTGCTCTCTATCACAGCTACTACTCAGGTAAGCTCTCTGAACATCAGGGGCTGCAGAAGGCCTTCAGACAAGCCGGGTTTCTCTTGATGGAGTGGTATCAACATACATGTTTCTGCTTTTTTAGGCTCTTGCCTTGATAGAGCTTTACAATGCTCCTGAGGGTCGCTATAAACAAGATGTCTACCTGTTGCCCAAGAAAATGGGTAAGCTGTTCTTCCTTCCCCATTCTTACCAAAAGTAGCTTATTGGCAGAAGATAAAGGTTGGAGGCATTCACTTCCTATGCAAAAAAAGAACATATATCTTTATCTTATGAAGTAAGAGCTAGAAATCCAGATTCTATTCCAAGTTGGTTTACACTGTTTTCCATATAGTTCTAGTGAGCTTCTTGCATTTTGCTGTGAGTTAGCTTTCCTGCTTGAGAATTTTTTATTATACTGCATTGTACTGCATTTTATTTATTGTGAGACAGGGTCTCACAATGTAACCAAGGCTTGTCTCGAACTCATTCCCATTTCCTGTCTAGGATTACTGCATGTGCCACCATGCTTGGTCTACCTGAGAATTTTAAAGATTTTTCTCTAAAAGTGTCTCATATGCAAAAATCTCAAAGGCAGAGGGAAAATACCCCCAAAGAGAGGAATAGGCTCTGACCTGGTGACATCTGGCTTATTATGGTTCTAGAATGCTAAATAGCCCTTCTTTTATAGGACACAGGTTCTTGTTTAATTGTGTGGGTGATTGGTATAAGAGAAACATTAAACTGTTTTAACTTTTTAAAGAGCCTTCCAGAAGCACCTAAATGATACATTGTGTTTATAAACTCAGGGAATAACTCAGCTTTAGGTTTTGTTTCGGCACCCATACAAGTTGCTATATTTTCCCTTTAATAGACGATTTAAAAGAATATAAAGTAAATGGAGCAGTTTGTATTCTGTGTAGATATATAATAAAGCTGGAAGTACAGATATGTAGGAAATAACATAAAATGATGAATATGTGCAGTATATTCAGATAATAGAATATAAACAGAAACAAGAAGTAAAATTACTAAAAACAAAGCACTCCATTTACTGTCCTTTTTAGTTAATTTTTTTCTCAATTCCCATAGGCATTAATTTTTCTGGAATGATCCAACATATAGAGCTCAAGGTAAAACTAAAGGTAGAGCTTCCTTTTTTCTCTCTCTCTTTTTTTTTTTAACAGGATCTCACTGTGTAGCTCTGCACCTCACTATGTAGAACAAGTTGGCCTTGACCTAAAAGAGATCCTCCTGCCTCTGCCTCCCAAGTGCTGGGACTAAAGGCCTGTACCATCATACCCAGCTAAGCTTCACATTTCTTTAGTCCCCATTGTTTCTCTAGACTGCAAGGACTATTGCTTTTTTCATCTCTTTTCTGAGGAGAAAGATTCAAGGCTGAAAGAGTTACTGGAAGAGCTGGGTGTGGTGGTGCACGCCTTTAGTCCCAGCTCTTGGGAGGCAGAGGTAAGCAGACCTCTGAGTTCGAGGCCAGCCTGGTCTACACAGTGAGTTCCAGGCCAGCTGGGGCTACAGGGAGACCCTGTCTCAAAAAGACCCCCCAAAAAAAAGAAAAAAAGGAAAAAAGAGTTAAACTTGATAAGGCAATCAATCATTCCTTAGAATTGAGGGCCCATGAACAAAAGTTAAGCATTTTTCAATCAGCTCCAGGAATTAGAACATGTCTTCCACCTTTTTATTAAGGCCTAGCTTCAGAGCAGCTAGGAGGTATGAATGCTTATCTCATGGCTTCTGTGGTCTGTTCCAGATGAGTATGTGGCGAGCCTACACCTGCCCACCTTTGATGCCCACCTGACAGAGCTGACAGATGAACAGGCCAAGTATCTGGGACTCAACAAGAATGGGCCTTTCAAGCCTAATTACTACAGGTGCCTTGGGCTCCCCAGAAATCAGAGCAGCCTGGGTAGTGAAGAACTTCCTGCACTACAGCTGCTCTTTATATCCCCCACCTGAGTACATTTACATGCACTCAGAAAAATAAGCACATTGGTCCCTGGCGCTGAAATACCCTTTAAGATCTTTTGCAAGCACTATTAGCCCCCGTCCCCCAGATACTGGCCTTTTAAAAATTATATTTTTATGCATTTTGTGTGTGTGTATGTGTATGGAGTTGGGAGTATGTGTTGTACATGTGAACGTAAGAGGACACCTGCAGGAGTCAGATGTCCTCATCCACCATTTGGGGGCTCTAGAAAAGCCCCTGCCTCTATTATACCTTTAGGCAGGCTCTTCATGTTCCAGCACCATAGCAGATGGCATCAGTCTTATCTTTCTTTTTCCCTCCAGGTATTAAATTCCTGTAACTCAAGCCAGAAGACATTTTAAGGAATAGAACCAAGCCCTTTCTCTACTGCTATCCAAGGAAGAACCCAGCAAGCTGCTTCTCCAATCAGAGCTGCCCGCCGTGCTCACCCTATGTGTTAGGTTATTTATTTATTAAAATCTAGAATCCTATGCTTGTAGCCTTGGCCCAGAGCGTGGTTACTACTCCGGGGGCCATGAGAGCCACAGAGGACAGACTGAGGAAGGCAAGAAATGGGGTAACCGTTTCTAGTGCATCATTCACATCATTGCCCGTTGACAGAATCCTCAGCAATAGCCATTTTTCTTTCCAGGCTCAGGAGTTAGTTCAGGGATGCCAGGCTCCTTGTTCCTTAGGGTTTTCTGGAATAAATTTTCAGCAGCTGCCTTTCTCTAAGCTTTGGTCCTTTCCCAGGTGAGGCCTTTTGGAAGCCACTGAATTAACATGTCCTGGATTCCCTGCCTTGATAGTTGCTGCCACTGCCTTCTTTATAAAAAAGCTAATGAGATATGGGTGTTAAAGTCTTGCAAGCTGCACCAAGAACTCAGCTGTGCCTGTGTCTGTGCCTACTGGAATCTCTTTCCTTACCCAGAACTCCTTTCTTCTCCTTGAATACTTTCTTCTCCATTTTAATGCTTTCTGGTTCCAAGAGGGGTGTGCCTCTATGATCTTAATAGCACTGATGTTTGTTAGGCATTTGTTTTGCCAACTTTCTGACCCCACCAAACTCTGCTCAGAAGGAGGGGGCCAGCTCCACTGGGACCCATAGTTTTGCTTCCTTGTCATTTAGCTGAACAGTTTCCTAGAAAGCCCCCACTAGAAGTGGCACTGTCTCAGAGAAAGAGGGCTTGTTGTGGACTGCTGCTTCCTGACTTCCTGTTACTGCCTGAATGACTTCTGAAACTGAGTTGAAAAAGACATACTTTGCTAGAGACTGGAAATATAAGACTTTGGAAATGGGACACAGCTTGACACCCTAAAGAAGCAAGTACATTTGTTTGCCAGGGAATGCTTTGCAGCTTGGCTGTCTGAAGAAGAAAGGAATGACACTGTAAACTGTCTTCAGATGATCAAAACTAGTTTGTTTGAGGGCTGGGGATGTACCTCAGTTGGTAAAGCACTTGCCTGGCATTCACAAGGCCCTGGGCTCAATTGCTAGGTACTGGAGAGGGGGGTGGTGGGGAGCTAGTTTGAACCTCACCACACATTCATTCCTTTGGCTCTTGCCATTGGTGAAAGTGAGATCTGGTCTGATCTGTCTGTCATCTTTCCTCTCTGCTACCATGTCTTTATGATCCAGCCCTTTCCATTTAAGGATTCTGTTTCAGAGATGGTTTCTTAAGTAACTAAGCATTATAAAATAATTAGTAATGTGAGCAGTGTGAAATTTTATGTTCCACCCAAGAATTGGATTTCCTTTGGAAACTGACCTACTGGTTTCAAGGTTCCATTCGATTGGTTCCAAGAGTTAAAACTTGGAGTGACCCTAGGAATCTCCAGTTGAATGAATCCTTCTCATAGTCCATCCTGTGTAGCAGTCTCACATTTGTTCCCCATGTTTTTCATAGGCTTCAAAGTCTCAAGACCAAGATCACTCAAGGAAACAGCAGACCAAAATAACTAAAACCTTTCTATCCTCCCCTAGCTCCAAACTCTCCAGTTTCCCTTGATCTTCATGTATACTCTTTACACTAGTCTGGAAGTGTCTTTACTTTTGAAGATAAGGAGTAGAACTTGGGTAAGTGGATAGTTGCCTCTTTAAACACTATACAGGCTCAGAGGCCATAAATATGGAGTTATATTTTGTTTTTATAAGGAAGACCATAAATGCTGAAAATTCCACTAGGCTGCTCAGTTCTTATCCTGACTCATTTTGGCTTTTGTATTAGTGGATAATTGTATTACTTTCACCACCACCTCTTTTTTGTTTGTTTTGTTTTGTTCTGGTGTGTGTTTGTTTGTTTTTAAGACAGAGTCTCACTCTGTAGCCCAGGCTGGCCTCAAACTCATGGCAGTCTTCCTGCCTCAGTCTCCTAAGTCATGTGCTACCATGCCTGGCTGAGTCTTAATTGGATCTCTTTAGAAAAGTTTCAGATCTTTGTACCACATCTTATGTCCAGAGCAGATTCCATTAGGCAGGCATCTGGACTCTAATCTGTTACATTCTTGGGCCAAAAATCACAACCTGCTGATTTGTAAGCAAAGCATTGTTCACTACAAAGCTTACTGTGTACTGGTAAGTACAGAGTATAATATTCTGCCTCACTGTAGTGAAGAGACCCATTCCAAACAGAAAAGGAGCCATGTGGATTTCTAAGTTGCACTGTGCTTGCCCATGGTGAAGTATTTGCCTATGAGTTGCAGGTGACCTCTATTCCCTTCTCTCTGGAGACATTGTCATCAGTCATTAAGAAAGAGCCCATGGCGGGGGAGGGGGTAGCTGGAGAGATGGCTTAGCAGTTAAGAACACTGACTGTTCTTGCAGAAGAGACTGGGTTCAAATCCCAGCACCCAAATGGCAGCTAACAACTGTCCGTAACTCCAGTTCCAGGGGATCTTCTGTCCTCTGTGGGCATTGCACGACACGGGTGTGCTCACATACATGCAGGCAATACACGCATACACATAAAATAAAAATAATAAATATAAAAAAAAGAGTCCATGGATGGGGGTTGTAGCTCAGTAGTAGAGCACTCAATTAGCATGCACCAAGCCTTCTGCTAAATCCCAGTATGGGGGTCAGGGTGGAAAGAGAGAGAGAAGTTGGCCCAGGACTCCTATTTAGGTTCTCTTCTAATGTTAGACCCAAATTACTGTTCCCTCTAACCTTGAAATCAGAGCAAATATCTTCTTTACTACAAACCCTCTCCTTAGATACATCCTAACTATCAGGAAGCAAGAGAAAGGCTGATTATCTCTCTGTATGTGGCCCTGGCCTGTGGGAATATGTTTCATTTATCTACAATGAATTTATGTAGTTTCAAGGTCTTTTCACCTTCTTAGTGGAAATATTTTCATTTTTCTTATTAAATAAAATGCCTCCACTTTCCCTCTGCCATCCTACATCCCCATTCTACCCTCCCATATGAGCACGGCTCCCTATAACCACACACTCCTGCAAAGCTTTTTTTTGCTGCTTGTCTTTTCTCTGAACAGATCTGAAATTGCTGCTCCTGTGGTTTTCTCACGATTAACTTTGTCATGGTTTGAAAAAATGAAAAAAAAAAAAAACAATGCATTGTTGCATTAAGCTTTTTTAATAAAGGAAGATTATGGAAAGAAAATAGGCAACACCAGCAAATTATATGTTGACAAGTCCTAAACTATATAAATATATCTATCATAATAATCATCTAGGTCTCACTGTCATTTTACTGAAAGGAACAGAACCTCTAAGGATCACCAGTTCTGAGAAGCTCTTAGAAATCTTTATGTCTAAGCGATTGTATTAGATCAGCAATAATGACTATGTAATCTCAAAAGACAAATAAAATATTCTTAAAATGGATTCTTGTCCTGAGAATTTTGCTTGCTTCTGTGAACTAGGAATTCAGAACTGAGAGGTCTCTTGACGACAAACTACCAGCCACAGGATGAAGATGTGAAAAGCTGCTGCAGTCGCCTATAGGCACGTTTGAGTAACCATTACCCTGAGACTTGTTTCATGCTAGGACACTCCATTAATAAATACCATGCCACTCCCCCTCCACCCCACTTGACACACACCCTGGCTCTGTGTTAAAGGAGCATACCTTTTTGGAAACACTACCTTGGAGAGTTGAAGAATATGATATTAAGATTTAAAAAGCGAAAACTCCTATTTTTGAGGTCCCTCAAAGGACCCTGACACTGGAACCTGATAGGATCTAGTCAAAAGGAAGGAAAGAAATGATTCAGGTAGAGGTTTGTCTCTAAATAACTAGAAGGTGAATCCAGTTGCCTGTTCTTTTGCAACCATTGGTATGGCAGCCATTTTGGAGTAACTTGGTAGTAGAGATTTCAAGTAACTAAATTTAAAATACTCATCAATGAGAACATCTCAGCAAAAGAGACATATAGATCAGCCCTGAGGTACACTTACAGGTGCCTCTGTGGTCAGTGGTGATTGTGTTGGTGATTGTCATTCCCTTATGAATAAATAAGCTAAATGGCCTATAGTGTCAAGTTCTTGGTTAATCTTAGTTGTTACTTCATTTTTTTCCAGGCACTTTCCTCTATGACAAGTTCTAAACATCTGGGTCTATCATGACCAGACAGCCCACTAGGGTATGAAAAAGATCATAATTCAAGTTTCTTCCACTGCTGTTTCTCAATCCCCACAGCACCAAATCTTCAAATCCCTTCTCTGAAAATAAAGCCAGATGGAGCTCTAGGTCCACCATTTGGCTTTAGATAGAAGCCAGAGGGAGATGTGAGTGCTGTTCTCTACCTGACTCCTAGTACATCAGTCTCTGCCCTTTGCCGTAGGGGGTAGGCAGAAAGAGGAAGAGAACCTCAAAACTAGCTACCCAGGGGGTTTCTGTCACTGGTGGGTATACTCCTGGCTGGCTGGGCTCACAAGAGGTTAATTTCTGAGGCTGTCAAATCCTAGAGCTCTGCTTTAGAAGTACTGAGAAAGTAGATAATGAACTTTTCTTAGTAAGAAACCCAATGGGCTGAGAGAGTGCTATGGCAAGTATGTCACACTAAAGCAGTAATGTGTTAGGCATGGGCTGTGAATGTTAATGTAGAGTATAAATTTTTAAGAGTTAACACATTATACCCTTTTAAAAAAAAAAAAAGCCCAAATCGAGTGGTTTATGCCTTGAGCCAAAGATTTTTTTAGATATTCACATTAGCTCATTTTCATAAGCCAAGGTATCTCAAAAGGAGATTTTGCTCTCCAGGGGGCATTTTGTAATATCTGAAATAGTTTCGGTTGTTCCAACTAAGGAAAGACTACCACTGGCATCTTTCAGAAGAGGCCAATGTTCTAATAAATATCCTAAAATGTTTGAGATAATCCCCCATAATAATTTTTCCACCCAAAATGCCAATAGCACAGAGATTGTAAAACTACGTTAAACATAAATGTCGGGGCTGGAGAGATAGCTCAGAGATTAAGAGACTGCTTTTGCAAAGGACCCAAGTTTAACTCCCAGCACCCACATGGCGGCTACCAGCCATCCTTAACTTCAGTTTCAGGGTAATCCGATGCCCTCTTTCTGGACCTCTGCGGCATTGCAGGACACAGGTGCAATAACATACATGCAGACAATACACTCATGCACACAAAATAGAAACATAAGAAATGTGGAATACAGAAGTTAATGAAGAAATAGGTGTAGTGGTGCACACCTGTAATCCCTGCCACTCGGAAGATGAGGTAGGAAGATCAGGAGTTCAAGGTCATTCTCAGCTGCATAGTGAGTAAACCAGCCTAAGCTACAGCAGACCCTGCCTCAAAAAGCAAAATAGTGAAACTTGGCCCTCCCATGGAGCTTATATCAGCATTGGAGTAGGTACAGGAATGGAAGAGGAATGGCAAGATTGGCTGGGGACCAGGGAGAGAAAAGTACCAGAAATTTCCAAGGAATGCTTTCTCTCAAATCTGTCTTGATCTGTCACCTACCAACTAACCAAAGGGTGAGAGAGAAAGAGATGGTAAGAAAGAGATGGAGTTAAGCTGGATGTGCTGTCTCATGCCTGTAATCCCAATACTCAGGAAAGCTGGGGCAGGATGACCGTGAGTTGGAAGTCAGCCTAGGCTACAATGTGAGACCATGTCAAAAAAAAAAAAAAAAAGAATTGTCCCTAACATATGGGAAAAGAGGAATAATTCCATTTTAGGGGAGAATAGAAATATCAAGATTTTGGATCCCAAAAAAGCTGGTTTGACACCAATATGCCTGAATGGAGTGAGGAGGGTAAAAAAAAAAAAAAAATCTTTCTAGAGAAGGGATGATAACTAGACTCTTAAAGATGGACACTAGTTAACCAAGAGAACAAAAGTTTCCTCCAAAGAATAGCTTACTCACAACTTTGAGGTAAGACTATGGTGCTTTGGGATTTACAAGTTCTCCACACATTCGAGTTTCCTCTTTGTGAAAGTAACTTGTTAGAGAAAGTGTGATACCTGGAAAATGTTAGGGTTCAGATAGCCCCACCCCCTCACCAACAGGGCCTCATGGACCTCGCAAGCCCCTGAGAAAAGGGAACCCAGTTAATGAGCGCCCCGTTTGGCCAACACAGCAGGCTTCCCCTTTTATCTCTAAAGGGGGCAGGTTTTACAAGTCCCACTTTCTGGCTCCCCCCCAATTTAAAAGAAAAAAATCTTCCCGCCTTCTGCACCCTCCAGAAGCCTCCCCTATAAAAGACCCCAGCTCACGACCCGAGGGCAGACATTTTCCATACCCAGAAGGGAGTCTGTCCCATGTGTTCCTTTGCTAATAAACTCTATCCAGCTGGAGTTTTATCTGTGTCCTGGTGCTTTCTGCTGATCAACCAGATTCATCCATCGCCTACTTGACCTATCAGAAAACACCTAATCTGATGCCTGACACAACACCCAATTGAAAGATCCATCCACCCTCTTCCTAAAGCGATTGAATTGTGGACAGCGATTTGATCTTTCCGATTCCCTTCAACCTGCCTGTTTAGGGCTTCCATTGCCAAGCCAGAACTGCCAATATATTTATTTTGCAGGTTGGTTTTTAGATAAATTCAGAAGGGCAGAACCCACATCCTCCATCCAACTGCTCTAGTTGCCCTGAGCCCTTAGGGAATCATAAAATTTTAATTTAAATTTATGACATTTATTTATTTGCATATGGTGGGAGGGCCACCGAGCACGTGTGGAGGTCAGGGGACAGCTTGTCGGTTCTCTCCTTCGACCAGGTGGGGCCCCGGAGATTGAACTCCGGCCGTAAGGCTCAGAGGCAATGTCTACTGAGCCTATCTTGCCCGCCCAGGGGGTACTTTAGAGGGGGGAAAGAAGGCAAGGGCAGCAGGGATGGAGAGGGCTTGCTGCCAGGGCACCCCAAGGGCCTCAGAGATCTCCGTGCAATCCCTCCCACCTTGCAACTCCAAGCCTAGTTGCCAGACAGCTGTCCCTCGAGCAGCACGAAATCTCTTCTGAAAGCTTCTAGCGAGGGCAAGTCCTTAGTTTCTAATTGGTTCAGGCTATCCTGAGATACCAATCCCTCCTCTGCGACTAAGCGGCACGTGGGACGAGTACAGCAGCCACGATTGGGGGTCCGGGTCTGAGCTAACGCGGAAACCCAGACTGCAGAGGAACAGGGGGCGGAGACTAGAGCTCCCAGAGAAAGGTCGCCGTGGGGGACCCGGTGAGCGCTGCTAGGGACTGGAAGCGAAGGCGGTCCGGCACTCTAGAGGTGGAGCGCGGAGCCAACCTTTTAGTCTCCAGCCAGCAGCAACGCCGCGCAGGAAAGAAAGCCAGGAGAGCGAGAGGAAAATATTCCTTGAAAGAGCCCCCACCTCTCCGAGTCCCCGCCCAGGGCTGGGCAGCCAATCGCGACGTGGGGCGGGGCCTCGGAGAGTGGTCACAGCCAATAGAACCAGAGTGGGCGGGGCCTGATTTCCGGCGCGCGGCGGAGGGGTCGCCCCGGGCAGAGATAGCAGAGCTTCAGAGGAGAGCCGTGGAGGGGAACTTCATGGACGAGACTGCGGCGCCCGAGGCCGGGAGCCCCCCGGGCAACGGCAACGGCAACGGTAACGGTAACGGCAAAGGGAAGCCGACGGCACCCAAGGGCCGGGAAGCGTTCCGCAGCCAGCGGCGGGAGTCGGAGGTGAGGAGCCCGGAGACGCCCACAGGCGCGGAGCGGTGGCTGAGGCGACTCGGCTTGGAGCTCCCAATGGTTTCCCAGCGGGCGCCAGCCGCTTCCCGCAGCTGTCCGCGGTCCGCAGCCCCGACCCTAGCTTCCTCCCGCCCGACCTCTTCTCCCTCGCCGCGGGCGTTCAGATACTTCCCAGATATGAGTGCCACTTGCTCGCTGCAGCCCCTTGATTGAAGAATTCGGACCCCGATTTACAGAGGGGGACAAGCTCGCAGAGGTCCGCCGCAGGAGAAAAGGGTCAGGAGCAGGCAGCGGCTTTCCCACCCCAGACTGGACCAAACTGGCTCCGAGCACCTGCCCTCCCTTTCCGTCCCCTGCCCTCAGGGTGATGGTCGTGGCTTAGGGACAGCCTTCCGCTAACATCCGGCGACTACCTGTAAGGGTTAAATTTAAGGATGCAGCTAGGGGATGGATATTTGGATCCCTTCCTCCCTTTCTAAAAAAGAAATCCCAACTAGGACGATGAAAGGACTGAATTATTATCACTCCCCCACACCCTCACCCAGCCAGTTTCCATCCAGCCAGAGTACAATTGCATCTGAGCTGGGATCAGAACTAAACGTCGATGTGGAACAGGCTGTGGAGGTCATCTGGTTAGCCCTCATTGTATTTTGTTTCATCTTATTAGTTTATTTATTTCAGATGGGTTCTCATTTAGCCCTGGCTGGCTTTGAACTCACTGTGTAGCTGAGGCAGGCTTTGAATTCCCTGTCCTCCTGCCACCACCTCCCAAGTGCTGGAATTACAGGTGGGTGCCACCACCCTGAGGCTAGCCCTTTCATTTTGCAAAGTAAAAGACAGGACTGGGGCTGTGCCTCATTGCTCAAGTGCTTGCCTAGCATGCTCCAAACCCTTGGTCCCCAGCACCAGAAAAAAAAAGAAGAAAAATGGTCATCTAGAGTGAAAGAGACACCAACTTGCCTGAGATCAGACACCTGGCAGAACCAGTGGTTAAGACACCAAATTTCAGTGTCTGCCAGGCCAGTTTTTAAAATCCATTTTTTATCTGTGTGGTTTTGGGTAAATTACCTAATCACTTTGAGCTCCATTTACTTCTTCTGTAAAATAGGGGTAATAGGGCTGTAAAATAGGGTTAATAGGGCATGGTGGCCCACATCTTTATTCCCAGCATTCTGGAGGCAAAGGTAGGTCTATCTCTGTGAGTTCAAGGTCAGCCTGATCTGCGTGAGCTTCAGGCCAGCCAGGGCTTTATAGTGAGGCCCTGTCTTTAAAAAACAAAAACAAAAAACAGGGTTAACTCTGCATACTTCAGAAGCTTGAAATAATTGAATATAAAGTGTTCAACACAGTTCATGTAATTACTTGGTCAGTACGTAGTAGCTCTTAGTAGTGATTACTATCATCATTAGTGTCAAGTGGCAGAGCTGGTCCTCTAAACCAAGTCCTTAGCATTTCATTTGATTAGCATTTCACACTTACCAAAATGGTTGGTTGGTTGCCTGTCTGTTGTTGTACAGGGATCAAGCCCAGGGCCTCACAAAACTAAGTATGTATTCTACCCTGAGCTTAATACCTAGCTCCTATTTTCTGAGATTAATACCCATACCCAGCTCTCCTCCTATTCTCTAATAGAGAATACCCAGCTCTTTTTCATTTTTTTTTTTTGGTCTTTTTGGGACAGGGTCTCCCAGTAGTCCCAGCTGGCGTGGCCTGGGACTGGCTATGTAGAACAGGCCGGCCTCGAACTCACAGAGGTCCACCTGCCTCTGTCTCCTGAATGCCGGGCCCAACTCCTATTTTCTATGAGATAAAAGTACAGGGAAACTGCTAGGAATTTGCTCTTTTTAGGGGTACCTTATCCCTTCTCCCAGAAAGACAAACCACAGGATAGTTGCATGTGTGAACCTACAGCACTTATTTTTGTTTTACATGTGATTATTTTGTCTGCATATGTGTAAGTGCATTACAAGTGTGCAAGGCCTGTGGAGGCATGAATATGGCATTGAATCCCCTGGAACTGGAGTTACAGACATTGTTAGCTTCCATGTGGGTGCTGGGAATTGAATCTGGGTCCTCTGCAAGAACAGCCAGTGCTCTTAACCACTGAGCCATCTCTCTAGCCCACCCTTACAGCACTTGTGACGGCATGCACAATACATATGTAAACCCAAGCCAGACAAAATCCCAGTATGGATAGGGGAAGTAGGCAGGAAACCCCAACTCTAGCTGAGAATCTACTGGCAATTGATAACTACTGGGAGAGGGAGAGTCAGTTTTCTTTATCGGTGTCATACCTGATAGGTTAACAGACAACCAGACCCACACCCAAGAGTATTTGGGAAACACAGATTAGACTTGATAGGCCGGGGGAAAAAAAAAAAAAAAAAAGCCAGGCATGGTGGCACACTTGTAATCCCAGTGCTAGGGAAATGGAGATAGGCAAGCTCCAGGCTAGTGAGAGACCCGGTCTCAAAAAAGCAAAAAGAAAGATAGATACAATGCCTGAGGAACAACAGCTGAAGTTGTCCTGTGACTTCTAAACCTATGTGCACCCCCCGCCACACACACACACAATAACATTGCCAGGTATAATGGCACACAGCTGTAATCCTTGCACCTGTAATCTCAGCATTTGTGAGGTGGAGACAAAAGGATCCAGAGTTTAGGATCATCCTGAGCCATATAACAAGTTCAAGGCTGACCTGGACTACATAAGTACATAGTCTTTTTCAAAGAGAGAGAGAGAGAGAAAGGGAGAGAGAAAGAGAGAGAGAGTTAAATATAAAACTTAGTTAAATATATTAAATTTGGTTGAGTGTGGTGGTGCACACCTTTAATCCCAACACTCTGGAGGAAGAGGCAGATGGATATCTGTGAGATCAAGTTCTACATAGCGAGTTTGAGGTCAGCTGGGACTACCAGGAGACCCTATCTCCAAAACAAATATATATACATATATTAAATTTAAAGAATATATGTAATTTAAAATTTTTTCTAACTATAAAGATGACCTATAAATGAGAGTGATTAGAGTGATTTAGGTTTTTTTAAAGAGAAATAGGGCAGTAGAAAATATCAAATATATATATCAATATATAGTATGGCTAAATATTATATTAATTTTTGTTCCCATTTGTGTATCTCTGTGGGTTACATATCATGTGGACATGATAAAAAATCTGCTTGTTTTTCCAAAAAGTTTGAAAAACACTGCTTTAATGATTATCCTTTATTCTGAAATTATGTCCTTACTATTTTGAAATTATATATATGTATATTAAGATTTTGAAGTTCTTATCAGAATAAAACATTAATAGCCTTATAACCTTATGTCATTTCCCACCTTATACTTTTTTTATAATATTTTATTTATTTTTATTTTATGTGTATGAGTATTATGCGTGCATGTAGGTAAGGGCACCCGTGTCCTGCAATGCCTGCAGAGGACAGAAGAGGCTGTTGCATCCCCTGGAACTGGAGTTACAGACAGCTGTTAGCTGCCATGTGGGTGCTGGGATTCGAACCTGGGTCTTCTGCAAGAACAGTCAGTGTTCTTAACCACTGAGCCATCTCTCCAGCCCCACCTCATACATTTTTTTCCCATTGATTCCTATAATCCAAAAGTTTGGAAATCTTTACTATAGTAGACTGAAACATGATTTGTGGATACCAGCAAAATAGTACTTGCTTCCAAGTCTGATGACCTGAGTTGGATCCCCAGAACCCATATGGTGGAAGGAGGGAACTAAGAGCTGTGAGTTGTCCTCTAACCTTTACACGTGCACAGTGGCATGTGCCCACAGGTGTACACATGCACAAATTTCATACATATAATAAAGAAAAATTTTAAGTTTTTAAAAAGATTTTTATTTTATGTGTATGAGTGTTTTGCCTACATGTATGCACACCACATACATACAGTGCCCATAGAGACTAGAAGAGGGTGTCAGAACCCCTGAAACTGTAGCCACTATGTGGGGTGCTGGGAATTGAACATCTGTAAGAGCGTAAGTTTTCTTTTTTTGAGACAGAGTCTCCCTGTAGCCCCAGCTGGCCTGGAACTTGCTATGTAGACCAGGCTAGCTTTGAACACACAAAGATCCACCTGCCTCTGCCTCCCAAGTGCTAGGGTTAAAGGTGTGCACCCGGCTAGAAGCTGGAAGTGTTCTTTTTTTTTTTTTTTTCAGTCAGAGAAAGGAAAGTTTAATCTAAGAGTGGCTCTTTATAGCTAGTGAGCAGGATCAGCCAAGGATACAGCATTACAGCATGCAAAACATAAATCAAGCAGAGTTCAAAGTAAAATGTTGTTTTTCTTTTCTAACCAAATCCAATTATTAATAAAAACAAAATAGAATACATTGTCCTAGAAATCTTAAGTTGATTAAATGGATTTATCTTCCCTAAACCATCATCAATTCCTCCCAAGAGATTTTGACTAGAAATACCTTTTAGTTGACTAGAAAAACTATGGGTAATATCTGCCTGCAACTTCAGTATCTCCTGGGTCATATTACCATGATTTAACAAATAATTTTTAATACAGTCCCAAGGAAATGTCCTTGAATTCCAATGGACAGGTATAACACAAAATTGAGATACATTCCAATCACATCCCAATGATAGCTGTCTTTGTAAACTAACAATCTGATTTCCTAACATAACCTCCCACCATGCCAAACCAACCCTTCCATGGCATTACTTTCAGTAGCTATTAAAGAATTATTTTCTTTTTTTTTAATTTATTTTTTTATTTTTACAAAAGCTTTACCGAGAATTTCATACATGTATATAAGGTGTTTTGATCAAATCCATGCCCACTCCCTCTCCTCCAACATTCCCCTCTCTGAAGAGGTAACTCTAAAGTCTTTTAAGGATTAGATGCAAGCTCCCAAATTCTTTTGACATTCTTGGCCTTTGAAAGAGTATGTTACTAACAGGCCCAAGGACATTTTGACTTTTAGCCAAGAAACTGGCTATGTTTCTTTGGGGTCTTTTTACCCTAACTGCCTAGCCAATTCCTACCTCCTATTCTTATCACACCATCCTCTGAAGGGTTTGCCCAAATTGCCTATAGGGAATAGGAATGCCAACCGCTCTGGCTTCTTCCATGAAGGCAATTGGAGTACGCCTTCAGTGGGTCTATCTAAAAGACTCCTATCTAAAAGACTCCCAAATTGCATAACTCCTATCTCTAAGGGGAAAAGAAAGTCCTTGAATCATGAATAGGAGATGTGAAGAAGTAAAGGCAAGAGTAATTAGCATTACAAGTTCTAGACAGGGAACTAGAAAAAAGAACAGGGCAATTTTCAAATGTTCATATGAAAGTCCATTGGAGTTTCTTGACAAGGGCCTCCAAAAGCATCCCTATATTGGGTTCTTTGTCACATTTTTTTTTTTTTTGTCTTCCAAGGCTGGACTAGTTGGCTGGGAAGAGTGGCTGGATACTCAGGTCAAGGTCCAGTGATCCTGCTTGGCACTCCTTTAATGAATGAGCACAGTCGTCAGCAAGCCCAATTGTGACTATGTTTAGCGATCAGGCTCAGCCGAAGTCATGATGATGGTAGTTATTTCATGCAGAAGGGACTGCTGTACAGCATCTTCTTATTAAAAGGACCTGGAATTTAAAAGGATTTGGTGCTAGGAGCCACATATGAGGGAGAACATACGTCATTTGTTTTTCTGAGTCTGTGTTACTTACTTCACTTAGTATAACAATTTCTAGATCCATCCATTTACCTACAAATTTCATTTTTTCATCTTTCTTTACTGCTGAATAGAAGTCCATTGTGTAAATATACCACATTTTTGTTAACCACTCATCAGTTGAGGGACACTTAGGTTGCTTCCATCTCTTAGCTATTGTGAAAAGAGCAGCAACAAACATGGTTGTACAAGTGTCTCTACAATAGGATGAGTCATTTGGGTATATGCCAAAGAGTTACGGTATAACTGGGTCATATGGTAGGTTCATTTTTAGTGTTTTTTTAATTTTATTTATTATTTTTATTTTGTGTGTATGTGTGTATTGCCTGCATGTAGGTAAGTGCACCCGTGTCGTGCAATGCCCCTGGAGGTCAGAAGAGGCTATCAGATCCCCTGGGACTAGAGTTACGGACAGTTGTTAGCTGCCATGTGGGTGCTGGGATTCGAACCCGGGTCTTCTGCAAGAACAACCAGTGTTCTTAACCGCTGAGCCATCTCTCCAGCCCCTCATTTTTAGTTTTTTTCAGAGTTTTCCACACTGTTTTCTGGAAGTGTTCTTAACTTCTGAGTTATCTCTACAGTTCCCCGCTCCTAAATTTTAAAGATCTTAAATGTTCAACACTAAAGAATTAGCTAAGTAAACTAGTAGATATCCAACCATTGAAATGATAATCATATTAATATGAGAAGACCTTTATAAAATATTAAAATTGTAAGCAGAGTAGCTATCACATACAGTGTTATCAAGCACTAGGTGATACCCTGAGAACTTTCCTTATATTTAACTCACATAGTCCTTATAATAACCCTGTGAAATTTTATTGTCTTCATTTTATGGATGAGAAAACTGAGCACATCATTCTCCAACAATAATCCCAATACCAACTGGATGTCCTACATTTGAATTTGTCTGACCCTATTCACTCAGTGTACACACAAGACTACCTACACTGCAGATACCAGCCGCAGTGAGGTCCCTAGGATATGTGCACTTCTACTTGGCAACTACAAACTCGGGTTCCCATTACTTACCCTCTTTCAGGTCTGATAATTTGCTAGAATGCCTTATGGAACTCAGGAATGTATATACTTAACAGTTATAGTTTTTATATAAAAGGTACAACTCGGAAACAACCGAACAGAAGAAATGAATAAGATAAGGTATAGGGTTGGAGCAGTGCCAAATTTCTATGCCCTCTATAAGGTCAACACTCCCCTACTACATCCATTGTTTTACCATCTCCAAAACTGCAAGCCTTTGTTTCAGGGA